CTGCCACAGATCCATTTATACATCATCTTAATCGTCATATTGAATTTCATTATTAAGGAACAGAAAATCCTCGTATTTGAGTCATGAAGAAAAGACGTAGCAGCGAAAAAGATTCATTTCAATGATTTCATTTACTAATGCTATACGATCATATTTACAAGTGGTCGAGACAGATAACTGTACTATTAATCAGTTAGATAGTGTGATTACTATAATGCTCAGGGTTACAGTAAAACATTGTTTCTGAAGACAGAGAAATCACTAATCTGGCCATGGTAAGGCCATTGAGTGCATGTAATGTTCTCGCACACAAAGATTGGGTTTAAAGTTATGAATCGCCAATGATTTGGTTAGATATAACATAATGTAGTCGAAATTTTAAGGTGGGGAGTCATTTTGTTAATTACTTTGAAGGAACGCTTAGGAAAGTGGTTAGGTGTTGGTACATGACAAGGTGTTTAGGACTGAAGCTCATACCAAGCTTTATTTACATACATTTTTGAGGTTTTTACTATAATATCACTTTTGAATTTCAGGTTCTTACAGATGATGACCAATAAAATCTTTGCATTTGTAACTTTTCTTTCCTATCAGAGTTAATGGATCTAGGTGGATAATAGTCTTCTAGTAAGGAGTTACTTAGAGGAATTGTAGTTCACTGTCTAATGCATTTTCATTGAATACAACGAACGTTAAAGGTTCTGTTTGTTGATAAAAGGGATAAATAACTTTACAAGTTGATAAATTATCCATCTCACTTTTTCTTCTTTGTACATTAGTCTACGATCTTGTTATTAGGTAGTACATCCATGAATAAAGGAATTTTATACATGTATAACCAGCATTGAAAGTGTTGAAGAGGTTTTCTCAGTTAAATTCTTCATCATATAAGATAAAAAATATCATCGACGTACTTTTTGTAAAAGTGTAGTTGATTAATTAATGATTTACAGATTCATTTTTCAAGATAATTGATGAACATTCAGCTAGAAACGAACCGAGAGGAAACTCTATTGTCATGTTATCCTTCTGTTTATCGAATTCCTCATTGAGTTTGAATTAGATCTGAAGTTTAGTTCCTCTATTAAATATTTGATTGGTATCCTAATGTTTAAGCCATTGAATTTCTTGTAGTCGTTGTTCTATTTTAACGACTGTTTACCGCTTTTGATCACCTTTATTTCTCTATCTTTCATCTTGGTACCTTCTATCTTGGCGTAGTGATATGGGGTTCAGTAACTTAGACTCTTGTTTAGTAGTGTAGAGTACCATTTTGATGCTGACTGATACAACTACCTTTTAGCAGGCTGTATTGGTGTTTTCAGTAATATATATATATTATATATATATATAACCTTTTTGTGATGTTCTCATATGTGCTAGTAACAACTGCTTCAACTCTACGGAATACCGCAAACCTTTATCAACCTCATTTAACAGCTGTATGAAGACGCCACATGCCAAGTAATTCACAATGGGAAGCTCAGTGACGCCTTTGAAGTGAAGACAGGAGTAAGACGAGGCTGTCACCTACTATCACCCATGATCTTCCTAATTGTGGTCGACTGGATCATGCAACAAAACCGTAGGGAGCGAGAAGAGGGGGATACGCTGGACCGCGGAAAAGATTCTAGAAGATTTGGATTTCTCCAATGACTTGTGTTTAATGTCATCACAAACCCGAAGATCTACAAGTGAAAACTAACAAGTTGACAGAAGAGGCTGGACAGCGAAAACGGGACTTCAAGTCAACGTAGAGAATATAGAGGTGAAGATACCCAACGAATACCACCATCAACGGGAGAAACTTAAAGGAAGTAGTCTCTTTCTCACCTACCCACCTATCTAGACAGCACCGTTTCAACTACAGGCTGTGGTGGCACAGACGAGGATGTCAAAGACAGCCAGGATCGGAAACACAACACAGCAAGACAGACCTTCATTAACCTCAAATCAGTGTGGAGATCTACTGCACTGCACTGCACTGCACTGCACTACTGCACTCAGCATAAAGTGTGAACAACATCCAGATTTTCAACATCAATTCAGTCAAATCAGTGCTGCTATTATGGTTCAGAAACTTGACGCGTCACGAAAAGCATTTCTAACAAACTACAGACATCCATCAACAGCTGCAGTCTACGCTCACTCAATACTGACACTGAAGATCAGATGGTCAGAATAATAAGAATAAGCAACAAGGAACTCTGGCTGGCTGGCTGGCTGGCTGGCAACCTATCTACCAACCAATCAACCAAGAACCCATCACCCAAAAAATATGCAGAAGAAGAGAGTGGAGATCGATTGGATTGGACATTGACTGAGAAGACAATTTGGGGACATCACGAGTCAGATCCTCAATTGGAATCCAAATGGGAAACGATGAGTTGGGCATCCGAGGTGAGGGCGACATGGAGGAGATCATGTGAGGAAGAAATGAAGGCTTGTGTGCAGTTGTGGAGCTACGTTGAAAAGACTGGAGAGAAGAGAGTGAAATGGAGACGTGCTACTGAAGCCCTATGTTCCACTAGGAACTTAAGGAACAAATAATAATAATAATAATCGAAGCAATTACAGAATTTAAAAGTTCAAGAATGAAACAATAAGGAAAGATATCTGTTCTTTAAGTCATTTTTTCTTACGGTACTGAAATTTGAACCAAGAGGTATTCATAGAGATAGACTTCATAATCTAATCTCGGTTGAAACATCTCTTGAAATAAGGTTGATTTAAACTCCTCAGTGGTAATTATAATCGGTCTTCTATGAATTGGAAGTTAAGACATTCAAAGTCGTGGCGTTCAATTATTCATTTGACATTCCATTGATCCGAGACTTCCAACTTAATGATATCTGTTATTTGGTATAAATAATGTACATTTCTTTTATTCATTATCTATCACTACCCCCAAATTATATAACTCAATGTATATTAGAGGTTTGTATAAAGATTTCTCAGAAATTGAAAACAGTAATAATAAATACTGTTTAGTGCACTGATGGAGAATATTTTTAGCTCAGGAGGATGATCTTGATGCTACTATGTGGTGAATGACTTAACAATGAAGCAGTAAACTATGAGATTTTCTCCGTAACTAGCTTAGTAGTTTGTCGCGATGATCTTGGGTGTGATTGGTTGTTTTTACTAAAATTATATCATTATCTCTAAACACATTTCCATTCCCTGTCCTGCTGACGTGAACACTGACCTTCTTGATGTTTTTTATTGGTTGATAGGATTGGGTCAGTATTAATATGTTTATTGATCGCTGACTGACGTCTGTGCCAAGCTTCTAAGAATTCTCTGGTGTTCTTTGTATTTTCTCTATTCAGCTAGGATTTTCCCATTTTTGCAGTCGGATTCATATCCACAGTTGTCTATATGCACTGATATGAGCGAAGATATACTATAACACTTTATTACTAGTTGATGCTCATGTAGATGGATACGAGGAGGGTGATCACCCTGTCAGAAATAGTGTTTTTTGCAGTTTATTTTGTCGACAACATTTGGCTTTATCTTCCTTTACTACTGTATCGTTTGACCTAAATAACATAGAGTGAAGAGATTCTGTCGGCTTGTGGACTACAAAGGTTCTAAAAAGCTTCAGTAATCTGCTTGTGACCTCGGATACGTTCTTCATTTAACGTAAGGCGATCCGTTTGTTGGTTTCCAAGGATGACATTTTAGTTGATGAATTTGACAAATTTCTTTTGATGAAGTTGCATGTATAGCCGTTCCTCTGAATATGTCATTAAATAGTGTTCTTTTCTCCGTAAACTTCGCTCTTTTGAACAATGTCTTTATGGAGCCTATTTTGTGTGCTGTTGGAAGGCACTTCACCTTATTATTGAGTTGTGTGAGGATAGATAAGATATCATGTACTGAAGCCGGAGTTCGAACTTTTTTTGATTCTAGAAATTTGGAATTCCGAAGATTTTTTTATCACCAAGACGTATGAACATCAGTGTGGAGCTGTGACTCATTGGTCCCAACCTGTGGGTGACGGGTTCGAATCCCGCTATACCTACCGAAGTTTGGGCAGCTAGATAGTATCACTACCCTCATATAATAGAAGTGGCTCATTGCTTGTTGTATGAATGTGCACAAGGTTGCTGAGTGAGTGCATATGCATCAGTATCAAAATTGAGTTTTCACTTTTAGTAGTCGGAATTGTGTGTGACATTGTTTTTGTTGTTGTTGATAATAATCGTTTCTCATAGGACGGATTGGTATGCTGTATATGATGTTATGCAGTGATATTTGTTAGTTGATTGTACGAGGTTGGTAATAAAACTATAATCGGTTGGAATAGCATGTCGTGACCAAATGATTCGTGATCCGAAGAATGAAATAATCGACCAACCAATCGCATTCGATATTCGACCATTTCCAGAACTGAGTAATAATCAAGAGGACATACAGTATTGCTGTTTATGTACAATGAATAACATTCGAACTAATATGAAGTGAAGTCATATGACACGAGTGACTTCTTACTAATCCATATCATACTGTCTTACTGTTGTCTACCGTATCATCAGTATACTCAGTCTTTGATAAGCATTCAATACCTCACATGTGTCGCAGACAGCATGAATCAAATAATATTATCATTTTGACTGTCTGAGATAGTCATGATGTGGGAGACTAGTGCTGATACTAGGTGAAGTGAACAATTTAGACCTCGGCGTGTTTCGAACCAGCGACCACTGGGTTTTCTGCCTGATGCTTTACCAATTGAGCTACGAGAATGTGAACTACTTCAATAATCACATCGCCAAGATTGATACAGTCTGTGGACTATATTTGATATTTAGCAAGCAAGGGACTTATCAAACATTGTCAGTTTTTCCAAAGATTACCTATTGTTAGTGCATCTATTTAACTCATCTATATCATCTGTTTATTCTATGTTGACGAGTTGAATTACTGAGAACTAGCGGGTAATTAGTCGTACTATTAAGCAGATGTCTATTTTATTCCTTCATTTAATATAGATCCTTTGTATCCCCTTCAATATTTGACGACAAATTGGTTTCCAACATGTCTTGGGTATTTCTTTCAAGTTACTTTCGTTTTTACATTGTTACTGGTATGGTTGTGTATATTTCATGGTATACGAGTTGTAAGTACTATATTTTGTTTGATATTTTCATGATTGTCAGTTCATTTTATATTTCTTTGCTAGTTGTACTGCATAAGCAGCTGCTTGAATTACTTTTACTTGTAGCAATAAATTAGAATATAAAATACGTCTGTAAGTTATTAAACTTACGTGATGAAGTTGATTTTATGTCTATAAACCGTGGTGACTAACTGAATAAATCAAAGAAGGACCTCGCACACAGGTGCATCGACTCAAGTTACCATACTTCACAGTAGTACACAAAGAACAAGTGGATAGAAAAAGATTAATATCAAGGTAGATAAAGTAATGTGAGAGAATTAACGATCTGAAGATAAAGGTTAGTGCAAATATTCAAGCTTTATAAGATGTCAAGGAGTGAAGGCATCTGCACCGTTGTGACTGATTATCAGCCAGTGATTCCTATTGTCTCAGGGACCCTAACCAGTTACTCTGCGTTTTCCAGCAGGGCTCAGACTGACAGTGAGAGACTTCATCGACTGGTACCAGATCTTGACTTGATCACCCTGAATCCTCTTCCAGCCTAATCTAGCTTTCACTAGCATGACACGTCGAGGTAGGTGGTGGCCTTGGTGTGCTCAGTACCTGTTCAAGCCATCTCAGTCGACCAAGCTTCACAACCTCATCAATCGATTTGCCTATCTTGCATAGTACCCTTCACCAGACCTCAACATTGCTCACGCGGTGATTCCACCAAACGTGAGCAATGCTACGCAGATAAATATGATCGAAATTCTGCAACCACTTGACGTCTTGTATTTCTAACGGCCATGTCTCACAGCAGTATGACAGGACAGAATGGACTGAAGCAGAGTATACTCGTTTTTTGATAGGTAGTTGGATATCTCTCCAATCAGTGCCAAAAGTAACACAAGTTGGCAAATACCGAACGAGCCTTCTGTATCCGGGCTGAAATTTCGTCAACTGTTAGGCAGTTCAGGCTGATGTAACTCCTTAAGTAAGTGAAGTGGTCGACACATTCCACCACTTCACTCCTCATCATTAAACTGGGAGTACTAACAGCAGATCAGTCCTGGAGCATCATCTTACAACTAGCAGATGCGAAACGCATGCCAAATATACTCAGATTTCTGCTCAACTCGTCAAGAAGACCCTGCATTTTGTCAGCGTGTTCACCCAGCAGGAAAGTGCCGACTGCATACTCTAAGTCAACTAGATGACCTCCAGGTAGTAGGTCAGTCCCTGTGAAGTAATGTGTTCCTAAGGTTATGTCTATTGGTACGTCTATGACGAAGTTAAATAAGAACGGTGACAGTGGACATCTCTGGCGGACACCACTAGTTGTTGTCTACTCGACAACTCTCCTTAAGCCCTTACACGTCTGCGTGAGTGTGAGTGGAGAGCTTTGATATGGGTTATACACTTGCTCGGTACTCCCTTCACAGTTAGACACTGCCACAAGACCTCACGGTCAATAAAATCAAATGCCCCGGTAGTTATGCCTGTGTTCCTGGACCTGTCGTAGAGGGGAAATATAATCGATACTCTCTCGCCCAGGTCTGAAACTTACCTGGTTTTCTCAAGTTTTCTGTTCTCGAGCTCCAGTTAGGCATCGGATAACTATGGACTCTAGGATCTTGGACACAATATTAGTCAAACTAACTCCCCTATGGTTGTCACAAGAAGATTTCTACCCCTTCTTATAGACTGGGATATTGAGTGAAGTATACCAGTATGATGGCACTTCCTCTGATTTCCACACACTACCTAGTGTCTGAGTTACTTTGTTTAGCAATTTCTTACCTCCATCCTCGAAAACTTTAGGTATCAAACTATCAGGTCCTGCTGCTTTGCATCATTTTAGGTTTGAAACAGCTTTGTTATCTTGTAAGAGAGTTAGACTACTGACATCTATATCCTATTAGGGTCAGGGTGGGATGTTGGGCAACTGAAGCGTAGCTGAAAGCCATTTGAACTGCGCTACAAAGTATTCTACTCACCGTTCTAGCCGCCTGTGGTGGGAGGTTATCAGCATCCTATCCTTTTCGGTGATGGTTTCTCTCACTATCGTGTTCTTCTTACCGCTATCCTTAATATACCTAAGCAGTTTCCGAGTGTTGCCCAACGCCGATGCCTTCTCCGTGTCTTGCTTTCGCCACCCACTATTGCCAGCAGTAGGCGTGAAGACTCTGGGCCAACTTACGCTTGAGTTGCTTTCGCCCTTCATCGTGGTCAGAACCAGTCAGTTCGGATGACGTTGCGAAAATCCAATGGTGTTTGCAAACCTTAGGGTGTAGGTTACCGACCATCTTTACTGCTGTTTCTACACCAGACTTCATATCGGGTTTTCTCAAGATGATGATTGCTGTCATACCCAGATAAATGCTTAGCTATCTCTTGCCTAAATAAGTACTTGATATTCTTATCTTCCAATAGGCCTTTTTATGGTTTACCGTTTCCCGTTTCCTGCGACCAGTAAGGCGCAGACATACACAAACCCGTACTAGTGTGTGGTTAAAGTCCAAACTGACGTTCTGAAAGAAGCCACAATCCTCCACAGATCCTGTCCAACGATGGCTGATAACAATATGATCTATCTTTGTCCATCGTTGGTCTGATGTCAGTGAACGCCATGTGAGACAGTGTCTCTTTATGCCTAAAGTTAGTGCTGGCCAGGAACAGATGGTTTTCAGAACGACATTGCAACAGACGATCACTGTTGTCGGTTCGTTGGCATGAGATTCCGCAAATACCCCAAAAATGCCTTTCCGATTGGCTCAGGTTCCCTACTTGATCGGCGAAGTCACCTACCATTATAATTACATCTGAACGTTTTGCTTTCTATAGCAAAATTGACAGCTTCTCATAGGATTCATCCTTTGCATCATCCGAACTACAGTTGGTTGGGTGCCTAGACGCAGATTATTAATAGACATCGCCTAGTCTCACGATCTTTACATAATCCATTCATTTGGACAGCTCATCAACTGCTGTTAACTGATATCCAGTCGAGAAGCACACTTTCTGCTCTAACACTCAATGGTATGCCTAAATCAGAGGGTCCAGGAAAGCTGACCACTGTGTCTCCGGATATTCTTAAGGTGAAATTTAAAGATTCACTACTATGACTACGTGAGGTCAATTTAATAGCCACCCTCGAATCCTGCATGCATGTCTCTGAGACGCAGCATACATCCATGGCTAGAGATTTCCGAGTTTCGGCGAGTGATGGTTGCTGTTCAATTTGGTGTAGAGTTCGGACGTTGAAAGCTCTCACATAAAATCAATGACGGAGTGTTAGGACAATAGGAATGCATTTTCGATGACTTTGATTGTTGTTAGTGTTCGCAAAGTGAGAGGTTTGGGAAAGCCTAAGAGGCTTAATACTAGCATCAGGAGGCGAAGGCAAAGGAGGATAAGTTATATGTGATTGGATCTTGTATACTGCTAGAGGCGTTCTGGTTGTTGACACTTCCCGGCTTTCATTTCTTCTTCACACGTTCCCCTCCATGTCACCCCTATGAGGCATCTACTTGAGGTCGCTTACACACCGCATCCGACTTCGCTCTCAGACCCCCATCATAGGGTAATAATTTACACTACAACGGCAACTGCTTTTCGTCTTATCACTGTCCAACAGACCTTTCTGGTATGGTAGGACCTCGAGGGAACAAGATTTTCAATAGCATAGCTTGCTGTGTCATTGTGGTACGCAAGCGCGATCACTACATCAAGGTGGGAGCTATCCGTCGGGATAAACCGTGGTTACTATTTTGTTAACCTTCATCGTTTGAGGTGGTTTGGACATGTGTTGGGTATTCTGAGTCACCGCCTACCTCAGCGTACAATGCTAGGAGAACCTAGACTAAGTTGGAAGAGGGTTCCGGGTGCCCAGATCAATACTTGGCAGCAGTCCGTGAAGTCCTTGACTCTTGATCGGAGCAGTGTTGAAAGATGTAGACTACCTGGTTTAGGGTTCCGGGACGATACGAATCGGCGGTTGAGGATTCTTGGTAACATGGTTGGAAATCGGTCACAGTGGCGCAAGTGTATTCCATTTTGGCGTCTTCTAAAGCTTGTATATTTGCACTTGCCTTTATCTTCAGATTGTTTATTCTGTGACACAGCTTTGTCTACTTTGATATCAGTTTCATTCTATCCACGTATTCTCTGTACACTACTGTGAAGTGTGGCATCCTGGATCGATTTACCAATGTGCGAGGTTTTACTTTGATTTTGTCTATTTAGCAATCAAGCTTTTTATTGCACTAAATGCATTTCCGATGGATCTTATCAAAGGCCTCATGACATCACGAATTATTCAGAATAAAGCCTTCAGGTCTTACTTTATCTAACTGCTCTGACAAAGGAGGGGATAATTCAAGTGTAGGCTTTATAGAAAGATTATGGTGTATGTAGAACCTAATTCTACTTGTACATTTGCGAATGCCTATGGGCTTTTTTGAGTATTTTATCAAGGCTTTTATAATTGACTCTACAATCGTAAGTGTTCATGGATGTTTGTGGGAAACTTCTTGAACATTAAAACTATGCTGATAGGTTTTGAATGTTTTCAACGATTTCTGGCTTCGTTAAAAGCCTGAAAGAAAGACTTAAACACTAATCCTAGTGATGAAAAGCAGTATGGATATCATGCCAGAGGAGTATGCCCTAACCAATCATTAATTACTCTGAATACAACGTTGTAGATTAACGCTTTGATTACTGGTTCACTATTTTTCTAGTTAAGCTAATGGATTCGATCATTGTGCACATATCAGTTTCACGATAAATATTTTAGCCTATCTCTATGAATCACATCGAAAGTGTGAAGCGTGTGATAATTTACAGTAATTCAACTAGATATGGGATTTGGTTTGAAATCTTAACCTTATGGTTGATAGTCAGATGCTTATATATCCAAATGCTTATGAGTTATTCATATGGCAAAAGACCAAACGTTCAATGTGTAAATTGGTACAATATTAATGTCTTTTGGTCACATATTGTGAAGGATAGTGTATCAGAAATGTTGTTGAATACTGAATCATCTGAGGCTGTTATTTAATCTTAACGATAATTGACACTATGTTGTTACTTGTATTCCACTGCTAGCCCACTATCTATCAATAATATAAAATTGAAATATAAGCAATAATGAGGCATCATCACAGGAGCTCATACGCTACTATAAACCGATTATTATTATTTGTCTCTTGGGTTCCTAGTGGAACATAGGATTTCAGTAGCACGTCTCGTCGTTTCCCTTTTGGATTCCACTTAAGGGCCTGACGCGTGATATCCCCCAACGGTCTTCTCAGTCAATGTCCAGTCCATTTGATCTCCACTCTCTTCTTCTGCATATTTGTTGGGTGATGGGTTCTTGGTTGGTTGGTTGGTAGGTTGTTTGCCAGCAGCCAGCCAGCCAGCCAGCCCCAGCAGCAGCCAGCAGCAGCAGCCAGCCAGCCAGCCACCAGCCAGCCAGCCAGCAGCCAGCCGCCAGCCAGCCAGAGTTCCTTGTTGCTTATTCTTATTATTCTGACTATCTGATCTTCAGTGTCAGTATTGAGTGAGCGTAGACTGCAGCTGTTGATGGATGTCTGTAGTTTGTTGGAATTGCTTTTCGTGACGCGTCAAGTTTCTGAACCATAATAGCAGCACTGATTTGACTGAATTGATATTGAAAATCTGGATGTTGTTCACACTTTATGCTGAGTGCAGTGCAGTGCAGTACAGTGCAGTAGATCTCCACACTGATTTGAGGTTAATGAAGGTCTGTCTTTCTGTGTTGTGTTTCCAATCCTGGCTGTCTTTGACATCCTCATCTGTGCCTCATGCTTTGAAGTTTCTTTAGCGACTGAATTGATTTTCTGGGGTAGGGTTGCTGGCCCCACGTCCAACCTTCCCTCTTTTTTCGGGCTTAGGACCTGATAGTAAACTAGGCAAGGTTAAATAAGTGTACGGGGCACCCGGGTTTGCACCTCAGAATTCCCAGCCTGCAGTTGACAGCTGAGCTACAGACTGAATAAGTCGATCCAATCAACAATAGGATAATACATTTAGCAACATGAAAACTAAACTTTGCTGCCATCACTCTATGGCCTAGTGGACAGCGTTCTAGCATTTGAAGTGATTGGTCCCGGGTTCGAGTCTTAGTGGGAACAGCATCGCTCACTGAAGGGGGGTGTCAGGTACATCCAACTGACGAGTCTCAAATAGGACGAAACTCACGTCCTGAATTCCACTGCTAACCATTATTCATCATTGATGTAAGATTATTAAAAGTGTTTATTGCATAAGTATATAAAATGTTTTTTTTCCGTTTATTTCATTTCATTTAGTCGAATCGAACATTTCAGAAATTTTATTTACCAAAAATAAGTTTTATTGGCATTTTCTGGTTGGTTATTTTCTTAATTATCACTTGGAAAACGTATGTTGAATATCATGAGCCTATGTTTGATATTCTAGAATATACAGAACTTCTTATTGTAAGTAATTTCTATTCGATTCATTTATGCTGAAGTATTTTCTTCTTATTCGTCTTTGTTAACTACATGAAAGGTGTTTGTCAATTGTATTTAGAGATAATTAGGTTGAGAAATATTTTTATACATATGCTTTGTTGTAATAATTGCAGGCTTGAGTACCATCACATTGTTAATATGACCTTTATAAAACTTGTACCGCTTGAGATTCACATCACACTGATTCACTTTTTATTAAAAATTCAGTGTACTGCTCTGCAGTCCCCTTTGTACTACCATATCGTTGTGGAACATGACTATTAAGGGGGGGGGGGGTTGTAAGAGGGCTTCAGATGTTTAACTACCGTTGCCTTCGTACTATAAACCATATGTCGTGGTGTCAACACATAAATGGGGAGAAAGAGGTAAGTCACTTGATACGGTTGTCAACTTCCATCGACTGACATAGTTAGAACATGTGTTACGTATGCCTAGCCACCGTCTGTCTCATCGCACAATGTTAACTAAAGTAGGCTTAAGTGTTAGTGTTATTGCTTGTATTACACTGTCGTTGGTTGGACCGAATTGATCGGTCTCTGTTGGCACATGGACTCTTATGCGCATGCCTCGATATTGTCTGTGTTTTAATTATGTATAGTAATGATGGGTAGTGGCTAGCAGTGGAATCCAGGATGCACATTTCGTCCTATTTGGGACTCGTCAGCTGGATGTACCTACCTCCCAGTGAGTGATGTTGTTCCCACCGGCATTCGGACTCGGGAGCACAAGAAGTTGCTATATCGTGGCTCGGTGGTGTAGTGAATAACGCTCTCGCGTTTAAAGCGATCGCTCCCGAGTCCGAGTGCCGATGGGGACAACATCACTCACCGGGAGGTAGATACATCCAGCTGACGAGTCAGAGATAGGACGAAATGCGCATCCTGGATTCCGCTGCTAGCCACTACCCGTCTTTACATAAGGTAGGCTTGGTTTGAAAAAAGGCTCTGCTTGATCAGACTAAAACATAACATCATCACATGAAGTCTTTGACTGTTGATCTGAGTTGTGTACAGTTATGTAGACTTCTTGATCTGGGTCGGCATGAAAACAGAAACTAGTGTAAAATATTTCGTAATATCCTATTTGGAGTTTCGTCGTGGTGTCCAGTGCTTATGTTTCGTCATGTTCATCATTTGAATTAATACAGTTTTATTTCTAAAAAAGTAGCATAAATTGAGCAATTACTGTAATCACGCCTATATATGGACATTTTAAAACTAATTTTGTCTCTTTTCATCAAGTACTAACTATTTTTTCAGGCTAATACAGTTTGAAGGTTTGATTGATTTCAGGTTGGTATTCATCAAGGACTGACATCTGTTTCATCTTAGTGTGGAACTTTTGTCAGTGTGCACCCCCCCCCTTGTAGAGTAGAACCCAGCTTCCACAGCCAGCGAAACCCTACTTCTGCCATTTCACGATATAGTATGACCCTCATCCACTAGTGGGTGACATGAGGGCAGTTACTCAACGACGGTATTGGAAGGAACTCTCTATTTATCATAAACTGACAGGAGTGCGAAGTGTGGACAATTGAATTCTGACCCAGTGGGTCAACGGTAACGTACTGTCAGCTGAACCTGAAGGTCCTGGGTTCGATCTCTGATGGGGTCATGGGATGCGCACTACTGAGGAGTCTCATACGAGAAGGAGATAGCTACCCAGTGCTCCCAGGCTTCCAGTAGTTTTCCAACTGACGTCAGTTGGTAATGAATACCAATCTTCAATAAAGCCAAAACCCATTATACCTTTTCACCTCATTGATAATGGTATGCATTTGTTTTCTATTCCTTCTGTTTCTTTTTTTTAGTTTGTTGTGGTGTTTCTTACTTTGTTTGTTTTAATCTATGTGGTCTTATTCGCTGTACTATTCATTCGCGCTTGTCATAAAATAAGAAAATTACCATATTTTAGTAAGTACCGTTTTAAGCTACTTGGTTATATCATCTATATCGTGTTTGTATATTTTTTCGTGTTGTTTTTATGTGAAGTTGAATATGAATACAAAGTCCAATGATGTGGCACCAGAACATATAAATAGTGCTGCGTAACTGTAGATTTGAAGGTGTAAGCAACAGCTAACCCATTTTTTAACCTATTGAACAAATACAATTAAGGAGAATGGGATCAATGATGGTGTTATAAAGCTAAAATAGGTTAGTTATCCAGCTTGACAACATTTGTAGTTTCGATAGCATATTCTGTTGTTTTGAGAACCAACAAAACTTTGAGAGAGAGAGAGAGAGAGAGAGAGATACAATTGCCTTCATATTGAATATGATAATTTGTCAGCTAATTACCTCCCGTTAGCATTGAGATGTTGTAAATTAGAAACATGGACAAACAATCAAATTCGGTAGGTCTTTTAAAGTGGTAATGAAGGCGAAGTCACCAAAACGATGAACCTTTAATCAAATTATCAATACCCCACTGCGATCGTACTGTTTCTTCTCTACCACTGGCATGCTTGTGGAAATGTGGTTAATTGCTGTGGATATTCGATTTACACTCATTGGACAACAAGTTTGAAATCCACTCCACTTATCGATTCTTGAACAATCATGAAGCATTATGCGGTTGGTTAAAATGTTTTGTTGATTCATCAATTATGATCGAGCTTTGTCAGTTTTACTAATTACCCTATGAATACACCGTAACCTAAAACTATGTCTATATATAACTCGATTTTGAGTTCCTTTCTATTGTCAGGATCAACGTTGTCATAAATACTCACTGTTTACTTTCATGGTCAGTTTCCGCATCAGGTTTATTGTTTGCGGGTTTTTGTGCGTATCAAACTCCTTGGAGTCATAATACGGAATGTTTTAATGTCATGGGTGATTCCAGTATTCATCTCTCAGTCTTAAATGGTGTTACAGTTTAGTGACTGCGTTGTGATATACTATTTCCCGAAAACGTCAGGAAATTAAATATTTCCAATTACATTGGTTATGGGAATCTGAATTTCCTCAAAATTTAGAAGCTGGCTGCATTAATTGTCTTCCTAATGTCTAAACCACAAAGCAAAAAGTGTATATATGCGTGCCAAACTGATAGCTGCTATCTTGATATGGTGGTTGTGCTTAGTTATCACAATGACTTGGCCAGCTGTGTTGGTGGGACAGTTATTCCCTTGAGGTCCAGCCGGACCACCAAGGTCTGTTGGATAGTAGTGGTAAGACAAAAATTAGTTACCGTTGTGATGTAAATTACTACTCTATGATGCAGTCTGAGGAAGGAGTTGTACTGCTGACTGGATGAGGTATGGTAGCAATAAGGTGTTCTCCATGGATGACCAGCAGTCTCATGCTAATGCTGACTTCCCTTTGGAACGGGAGCTAGGAAAGGTCGACCCCCCAAGTGGGACACTCTCCTGCCCTGAGGTCTTGGATTTCTGCTGCATTGGGACCAATCGTAGCTGAACCTAGAACTTTTAAAAATGGCCGTGTGTGACCGACCTTAAGCAGATGTCCCTTGAGTTCAGTAGTCACTCACGACCATTAGCAATCCAATTTCTTTTGGAGACACCTCAAGAAGTAATCTTCATGGTGTGTGCAGCTGGAGAGTATCAACCTGCCCTCACAACTTTATCACCACTGATGTTCATGTATGCACACAAATTTTATATATTGTTCATTATCAGTTAGGAACGACAATAAATGCATTCATTCCCTTCATATTTTGTATTGTTTCTAACTGCTAGTGGTCAATATGGTGATCAGATTAAAATATCCAAGAGTCTGTTTCGTGTGTATCTATTTGAATGGTACATGTCGAGTTATATCACCCTCTCCAGTCCAAATCCTTTAAAGGAGTCACCTGAATTTGTTGTTGAACAAACTTTGTTATATATTGGTTTCAAAAGTTTTGAATTTGTATGGTCAATCCACAAATAGATTTCGTTCAGGTACACAAAGTATGCAGTTAATACTTTTTAGCTATGCATCACCTATCAAAAATCTAATTGGAATGCATTCAACAAGTGCGTACACGTTCACTCATTAGCCTATAACCCACACTTATTATGTGAAGGCTAGTGATACTATCTAGGTACCCAGACCTCAGTGAGTGAAAGGGGAGGTTCGAACCTCTGTCCCATTGTTTGGAAGTTCATTGTCTAATGAGATGAGCTGCAGCTTCACACAGGATATATTTTGTATACTTGCAACACTTATGTAGCATGAGCTGAAAATATAAATGAAATATACGTCATACATAGGCGGATAACGAAATTATATTGACTGAAATAATCAACAATTTTCGCATTTTTCTCCCTGTAATGATTTCAACGAGTATCAGTATAGACAGAGAAAGGGAATATTAAGATTTCAGATTCTATGCGAAATTATGTTACCAAGTATCTAAGTGATCATCTGTAGAACTATCTTTGCTATCCATAGTGCTTTAAAATTCCTTCTCACTTATAATTTAGTATGTTAGCTTTATGTTGATTGTAACATTAATCTCATTCACTGTGTTGATTTTTTCCGTACATTACAACTAATTTCGCTTAGTCAGACTTGTCTCCCCCTTTATTTTTCATAGTTGTTTTGCTATGTATGCCATGTATAAAATGCATTCTATGTACAAAGAATATTTTCTTATCTCCATGTAGTAAATTTTGTACTTGTTCATGAAGTGCCACATTGCATAACATATTTTAAAATTCAGGTATATTATATTGTAAAAAGCTTCAATACATTAAAACACTGAAATGTGATTATTGAATTGATTGTGGCTAACAGTGGAATCCAGGATGTGAGTCTCGTCTATTTAGGACTCATCACCAGATGTACCTTCATCCTAATGATTGATGTTGTTGTTCCCGTGGAGACTGTCTACAGAGGTGGACCATTCCTATCCATTGTAGTAACAGAAAGTTACAAGTATCAAGAAATAATAATAACTAACATCTGTTGTACGAGAGGTGGCTATTGTGCCTCAGTAACCTAGTAGATAATGCTTTTGTGTTTCAAGCGATGAGTGCGAGATTCGAGTCTCACTGAGAATGACGTCATTCAATGAAATTCAGCTACATCCAGCTGACGAGTTCTAAATAGGACGAGACGTACATTCTAGATTCCACTGTTACCCACAAACACGTCATTTATAACAATAAATATTCAGGCAATATCTGGACATCCACACAAGAGCCCATAGACTATTAGAAGTCGATCCAGTACAACAACGGAGAATTGCAAGTATCAACAAATAATCAGTAGCATGGTTACAAGTTAACTGGTTTGCTTGATTTACCAGCTTCTTAATTAGTCAGAGATAAAGATACTTCACACTATTGTTATGTTCCTTTTTTTTTCCATACTTTTAGATTTACGACTATATTTTTTAACCTTCTTGTCAGCTATCTTCGTTAGTGTGTTAGCAATTATTTGCTTAGTACATTTCAATCGAAAATTTTACTCTCAGACATTGCATTATTTTAATAGTAAGATGTATCCTCAATCCCACCACCAACAGCACCAACAGCAAAATCATCCAACTTTCTTGGGATTACATCTACTCAATGGTATTCTTGCCTATCATTCAGCGTTTGAATTTGCAATAATACAATTTACTGTTAATGCATACATTATTATATTGGCATTTGTTTATTCACCTCCGAATAATACACAAATTGGTAAGATCGCTACTTTCACTACATGATTGTTTAATGTAATAATAGTGTATTAAATTGATTAAGATTTCATCGAGAATTTGATAGCAACTGGTGAATCATTGGAAATCAAGGAACCGAATAAACATCTACTTCATTTTAATATAGAACTCGAACGAAAGGAATATCCATCACTGAAACTATCCTGTACATCTTAGTCTTCATTAGCTCACTATATTATATGAGATCCTGAAAGAAACTACTTTGGATTTTGGTCATATTCCTACGAATCAACCATTTCCATAAATTGAAATGATTAGTAGTCTATGTACGTGTAGTAGTAGGATGTTATCCGAGGGTCTTTATTGATCTTCTGTCAGCGAGTGAAAACACCGAGGAACAGAATCTGCAAGATAAAAAACAGAAGAAGAACTCGAGTAGGTTGACACTCAGTAAGCACATCAAGATGCATTTACTATCAAAAAGAGAGAGAATCCCCTCTAAGTTGTTTTTTTGTTGTTGAGAAAAGTGTAGCCATTTATTTTCATCGTGTAAAAGCTGTTTGTAGTATTGTAGTAATTGACTTGATTTTTAACTCTTGACTACTATGACTGTTTCCAGTGTACAACTTTTCTATAGTTATGAACTCAAACACACTATGTCTGTTTATTTTTACCGGCCAGACCAAGCTACAACATATACTGAAATATAAGAGACTTACTTCAAAGCCTAATACATAAAGCTGTCTCAAGTCCTAGGATTTTTCTTTGAAAATCTGAGAAGCTGGTAATTCCATTTTTATTGATTTATTAGATTTATCACACACTGTAACAGTATTGTTTACTGGATTACGTTTCCGACATAATTTATTGTCCACAGTCATATCAAGATAACTACACAACTTTGAGATACCCTTTGATATAGTCCTAATTTTCTCATCTCTTTGTGAGATGGACAGTTAGATTTTCCATATATCTGGAACAGGTGCTAAGTCATTCCAGTTACTGCATGTGTTGGGTGTTGATTCGATAAACAAAGATTCAATTATCCATCTCTTCCTCCACCCTGTTATGTTGGTTCTAAGAATTTTCACCCTGTCCCATCCTATTGTGTGGTTGTGTGTAATTGCATGCATAGCTGTGGTTGAGCAGTTTTTCTAAATTCCTTACCTTACTAGGATCTACCAATTTTGACCTAACTAGGTTTTTGTGTTCGGATAGCCTAATTGATCCTGTTCGACTACTTTGACCTATGTATTTGACCTCGCAATCGCTGCAAGGGTTTTGGTAAACTAAATTATTCTGTTTGATTGGATTAATAGGATCTTTTAACCTACAAAGTTTATTTCGAAGTGAGTTTGTAGGTTTAAATGCCACTCGAATCCCAGCCAGCCTTATTGAGAATTCTACGTAGTGTTTCTGAGTCGCCTTCTTTGTATGATAATACTGTGGAGGTTTTGAATTCTCTATTCACAGTATTGCCGCTACTATTATTAACATAATTATTACTATTATTGTTGCTGTCATTACTACTATCAATAACTTTGTTACTGATATTTTTCTTACAATTCCTAAGGAGCTTATCAATTAATTTGGGAGGGTAATTGTTGATGATTGAGGCGTCTTTAATGTATCTGGTTTCTTGTTTTAGATTTTCTATTTTACAGTAAGTTTTTTGGCCCTGTTACTTCGACACTTTACCAAGCCAACTTTAACTGACATAGGGTGAGACGATTTGGAGTCTAGGTAACAGTTTGAATGTGAAGATTTTCTGTAGATACTACTGTCTAAACTCTCATCTTGTTTCCTTTTTATTCAGCAATCCAACATCGCTAACGCACTTCGAAATAAACTTTGTAGGTTAAAAGATCCTATTGACCCAATTAAGCAGAATAATTTAGTTTACCAAAACCCTTGCAGCGATTGCGAGGTCAAATACATAGGTCAAAGTAGTCGAACAGGATCAATTAGGCTATCCGAACACAAAAACCTAGTTAGGTCAAAATTGGTAGATCCTAGTAAGGTAAGGAATTTAGAAAAACTGCTCAACCACAGCTATGCATGCAATTACACACAACCACACAATAGGATGGGACAGGGTGAAAATTCTTAAAACTAACATAACAGGGTGGAGGAAGAGATGGATAATTGAATCTTTGTTTATCGAATCGACACCCAACACATGCAGTAACTGGAATGACTCAGCACCTGTTCCGGTTATATGGAAAATCTAACTGTCCATCTCACAAAGAGATGAGAAAATTAGGACTATATCAAAGGGTATCTCAAAGTTGTGTAGTTATCTTGGTTGATATGACTATGGACAATAAATTATGTCGGAAACGTAATCCAGTAAACAATACTGTTACAGTGTGTGATAAATCTAATAAATCAATAAAAATGGAATTACGTTCTACGACAGTGCACAAGTTTTATATATTACTGGGAAGCTGGTATTTATCAAATGATTGAGTTTGTACGTCATCTCTTGTTTGTTTCTACTGCTTCGTGTATAATTATCCTTTTGTGTTGTCCATTAAAGTGATAATTCAGCCCTAATTATTACCCTTTTTTCGCTTTGATTCCTTTCGTTTCTTCATCAGCTGAGGTGGCTGGGACATGTGTTGTGCATGCCGAACCACTGCCTGTTTTAACGTGCCATGTTAGGGGAAGTTGGACTAGGTCGGAAGAGAGTTTAGGGTGGCCAGACCCAGACGTAGCATCAGCCGATAAAGTCACTTACTGCTGGTCTGAGTCGTGTTAGAAGATGTAGACTACCTGGTTCGGGTCCCTGAGATGATACGAATCAGTGGTTGAGGTCTGTTTGTGACATGGCTGGGAATCGGTCACAGTGATACAGATGTATACACTGCTTGTTACCTCTTAAAGCTTGAATATTCGCATTAATATTTATCTTCAGATGGTTTATTCTCTCACACCACTTTGTCTACTTTGATATCGGTCTCATTCTATTCACCTGTTCCTTGTGTACTACTGTGAAGTGTAGCGACTTGAGCTGACGCCCCTATGTGCAAGGTTCGGTGTTGATTGTATCTGTCTTCTCATCTGTCTATCTATCTTTGCTCCTTAATACAGTGATAAATATCTCCTTGGACTTTATAAACAATAATCATCTAATAATGTACCCTTTTTAGTTTAACTTTTGTATAGTTAATCAAGCCTAAGCGAAGTTTATGTTCACATTTCAATTATAGAAATGGATGTAAAAGACGATCCATCATTGTCTATGATAAATGATTCAGATGAAGATGTGATGTATGAGTAAGTTAGTTTATATGTATTAATACTATTCTATTTTAAAATAAACTACAATTCAAGGTAAATGCAAAATGCTTTTTTTTTAAGGACAACAAAACGTTGATATAATCTCGAAAATCAAAATCCACTCAGCAACCTTGTGGGCATTTGTGCAGTAGGCAATGAACCACATTTATTGTGTTAGGTAGGGCTAATGATTCTACTTCTTGAATGCGTAAACTTGGGTAAGTACGGTGGAGTTCGAACCCGTGACCCACAGGTTGAGAAAGTCGCCTCCTTAAACCAATGAACCACAGTTTCACTTTTTTTGCTTTGGGAGTGACTGCGAAAACTAAAGTGATAGCTGAACTGATTATGAATTCATACCTTAGCTTGATGTCACTGTTGGCTTATTCACATTTCTTTAATATTTTTTTTGGAGTGTTAGTCATTAGTGTTAATGAATTTGCTACAAACCCCCTAATTTTGTATAACTTTTGTCTGGTGTTTTGTCCATAACCTTAAAATAACCTATGTGGCTGTCTAGTTTTCCTTCCCTCTGCTTTCAAGACTGAATTCTCATTGGTTGTTAACTTAATGTTAATTTAGTGTTGCCAAGGTCATTTGGAAGCATATATATATATATATATATATATATATATATATTCAGCACCGCTGTCAACTGTATTGGTTATTGTTGAGGCTGTAAAATGCTCTCTATCAACGATCTGTCTTCTTTTCTTGTCTTTGGGCGTCAGTGGTATTGTTGTTGTGGTTGACGTTCTGATTTACATTAGGGTCTATTCGCTACACATTCAGTTCGTATCGTTTGTAGTCTGCTAGGCTCGTATCGCTCGTAAACTGTTAGGTCATACTACCGGTCATGGCAGAATTTTGGATATATACATGTATAGAATGGGTCTGATGTATCCATTTCTCTCCTTTTCTCTCTCTTCCTTACAGATCAGATACTGAAACGAAAACGTTTTTATTTGCACAGCATAAACAGTAATATGATATATGTATGCATAGACGAATCGACCGTGGAAATGAGTCACTTATACTTGCTTTACTGATCAAACTGTATGCATGTGATCATATCATATCATTGTTTCTCCTCTCTTTTTTCAGTTTTGTTTTATTTTTAAGCATCATGTACAAACTATTTTTTGTGAGTATGATCGTTTTGTGTGTGCATTTTACATTCCAAATTATTATTATTATTATTATTATTATTATTATTATTATTATTATTATTGAATGAATTCACTTATTCCGCTTTTGTATACCTTTCTTTTTGAGTAGCTTTAAAGGTCACCCTAACAACTACTGAAATAACCAATCAGACTTGTCGATTTTACAAAAATCTACCTTTCCAATTGAATGAGGTAAAGAAACCTTTATTGGTTGTTCCGCTTGCTGTCAGGGTGGCCTTTTGTAGTCATTCTTTTTGCTTCTGGTCGTATATGCATTCTTGTCTCATGTTTTCCATTTTGTACAGACTTCAGTTGTTCATTTCTATCATTCTGTCATGGATTGTATTTTGTATTAGTTCGTTGTTGTTGTTGTTGGGGCTTTTTAAAAAAATATGTAACTAGTCGTTTTCAAACTGTGATCATATTACCATTTAAAAACTATTGCTTCATTTGGCCATTACCTGTTTACATTAATCCCATTTCAAAATTTAGTTTTTTTTTCTTTGTTTGCATTTCCTATCATCTTTAGTACACTGAATCTATTTAGTTGTTATAGAAAATGATTGAAAGTTGTTTGGTGCCGAAATGTGTTATTTCCTAAATTGAAAAGAAAATAAACGACGGAGTTCGAACCCGTGACCCATTTATTAGGAAGTCAACTCCCTAAACCAATGAGCTACAACTCCAGTATTGTTGAAATGGAGTATGATAACTTTTATATTGTTGTTGCTGTAAACATAGTAGTATTTTCAAAGAAAATATACAAACAAACCGAAGGCTTTACCAATATCCCACCCTAGTAGTAGAGATAAAAGGGATTCAGTTTACTTAGGAGTTAGAAAATGAACAAGTAGAATTGGTTATACTGGATTGCAAAATACAACGTAGGCAAGACAATAGTTTAGAAACTAATGTTTACTAAAGGCTGACACATTTTGGTAAATCTACAGACTTAAGGTCATCCTACCCGTCTTTAGAAAAGATAGGTTTTATTGAATTTTTAAGCAATCGATTAAAGAGTCTGAAACAAATAAGAGGAATATTACTACTTAAATAGCTACCTTCGGAAACTTATAGGATCTCATAAGAAAAGTGGAAGTAGTAAGGTGAGAAACAATGGCAATGTAACAAAGATGGAGTTTCAAGCCTCTATTGTGTTGCCTTTTGAGGAAGGTACATCAAAAGCTTTGCATGTGACTCCTGATAAAGCTGAAAGTAGATTGACTTTCAGATTTAAAAATTAACTGAAAGAGAAACTTTTTCTGCTTAAGGATTCCATTGATTCAATTAGAAAGTAGTTTACCTTACAAAATACCTTCACTATGAGGTTAAGTACATCGATGAAACTAACAGATCGCAGCTAGGCAAGGTAGCAAAACATAAAAACTTAACTAAATTTGGGTAGATTCCAAATTAGCGAAAAACTCAGCCACTGCTATGTATGCACTGAGAAACAATAGTCCTAAAAGCTGATATAGTAAGATGAAGGGAGAGTTCGATCACTGAATCTCTGTTCATCAAATCCACACGAAACAGAGACAATCGAAAAATAATGTAAAATAAACAAATTCAATATGAGGTTACACTCTACTACACTGTCAGAATACTACTCTCATAATATTTTGGCCTGTTTTTCACAATATAAGTTTCAAATGAAACTCAAAGTGTATACGAAGGAAAGTGGATGTTTCATAAAGTGTCCGCGACAAAAAACCAAGGCTCAGAGAACATCGAACCAACCTCGTCTTGAGCTACAAATCTTTGCTATCATTTTAAAAACAAAAGTCAATAGAGTTTGTGGAGTGCTTACAAGCGAAAGAAGTGAGTGAATAGATTCGCATCATTAATCACGGTTTTCTTATCATTAATTTATATTATTATTAGCTCAGTTTGTTTCCTTTATAGGGAATTATCACACACTATTGCAGTTGATGTTTGTTAATGCTCAAGTGTATTACACAGTGAACAGAATTGCAGATTCGTCAGTTGTTTTTAAAGTTTTCAGATAGTCTTAACTAAGCGTTAGTCAATGGTTTGACTAAGTAACGCTTTAGACATATCGGTGACCAATGGGTTCCACTTTCTAACCGAACTAGTACACAGATACATTGTAGTTTCTAATCGCCTATAATCGATTTTTTGAACTCTGTCAGCCCCTTTGGTAGCAATGATGGGTAGTGGCTAGCAGTGAACTCTAAGACTCGAGTCTTTTCCTACTTGGGACTCGTCAGCCTGGTGTACCTGGCTTGCAGTGAGTAACGTTATTCGCGCCAAGACTCGAACCCAGGGCCGATAGCTTCAAACCGCGGGGCTTCATCCAGAGTCACGATAGCTGCGCCTTGTACAACAGGTTTACTTTTTTATTGGACCGGATTGTTGGGTTTATTGACATATGGGATCCATCGTAGAAGCCTCGATATTGCCTTTTGTTTCAGTTTGCTAGTAATACTAGCCACTATCCATCATTACTACCAAACTGGGACTATAGGCAATATCGAAGCATCCACACAGGAGCCCATTGCCAGTACAGGTGGATCAACGATGGAAAATTATGAGCAATAACACGAATCAGTCACTAGTTATGTCTTTCTTGCTTAGTAGCAATAATATTAGTAATAGCTATATTTTGATATTGTTGGATTGTGAGTGTAAGTTGAGTTCAGGGTTAATACGTCTCCAACTTAGTTGAATGAACCAATAACAGGTTGCAATCTGTGATCGTAGACTATATAGGTTGTTTGACAGGCGAATATCGTAAGTTAATTAAGTGTAGTATAACATTGTGACATCTGAAGTGATCGGTATTAAATTCGTTAATCTATAAAATCAACTACCCTAGTGGGTAGGTCGATCGGACAAATGAGTCATATAGACCGAAAAGAAACTGTATCCCATTTCTAACCGATATCTAATATAATAATCAAAGAAAAATCAGTGGCAGTGGTGACGGCCGTCAAATAGACATATTTCTAGTCAGGATTTCTTCAGTAAATCACTGTGATGGGAATAGGTCTAGATTGAAAATCAGCCGCTAAAGTAGAAGTCCTCAATTCCAACCTATCCTTCATGTTACCGTGTGGTCAGGAAAAACCTTATTGGACACATTTCTCCTACAGTTGACCAATCAGAGTAATTATTTCACTTCTGACCTAGCGGTTTTATATGTTAATGGAAACTTCTTATAAGTGATATGCTTTCAATAAAACAAACAACGTGAGCGAAGAAATATTTCTTTTCAATTAGTTCCTCATCAATGGCTCTACATTAATATAGCGTTTTCAAACGTAAAATTACATACCAATCTAGTGGTGAGAGTTGTTTAATAAAAGGTTATCAATCTGAAAGTATCAAGAAGGTGATAATTGATCAGGTAATTAAGGCAGTTAACTAAGGCGAAGGTTAATTATCGTAGAAAGATTTTGTGAACAGGTTGTTACATAATTGATATTTTGCATAATGATAACTAAAGAGCGAAAATGAACTGTTACGTAAAATGGTAAATTGTTGACGGTAATTAGAGACAGTAGGGGGAGAGAAAGATGGTTAAGTCTGTAATAATAATAATAATAATGGAGCTATTAAAATATTGTGTGGTGGATGAAATGAAGAGTCTTGTTGTAATAAATGAGCTATACAGATGGCCAAGGCAAAGAAAGAGGCTGTACGAATATCTTCTGAACTCACAGACTTGGCTTGTGTAGGTGGATTCCTATGGCTTCTGCTGTATGTAAAAGACGAACTCGTAGAGCATGGGTGAGGTGAGAAGGAATATGATAAATAACTTTAAAGGCATTATGAATGTTAACTCGGTGGCCGGTGTCAATCAGATGAGAGAGTATTGAGCTTGGTTTCCCCCTTACTTAGCCATGAAGGATGATGCTCGGCGATTCGACGACGGACTTGCCTAACTGTACGTCCAATGTAACTAGCTCCACAGGAACAGTTGAACTGGTAAACGCACATAGAAGAGAAGTTAGAGAGTCTGTCTTTAGTTCCTATGGTCATCATCGGCCGGCTGTAGAAAACACAACATAACTTGGCGGCATTAAATGATCTTCTTATGGCATTTCTTAAGCGTTGTGTCACAATTTCGCTGATGATGTCATCTCGAAACTGTAGTCTTAGGAAAAATGGTTTCTTGGAGACTGTAGGCATTCTGGTTTTCATATTGAATGTGTTCATATTTTTAGCCAGGAACGTTTCTACTGAGTAGATCGTGGATAATTTGAAGCTCTTCGTCAAAAGTACCATCTGAACAGATGAGTCTCGCCCGATGGACCAAACATTTAACGAGATTTCCTTTATATTACAAGGGGACGAAACTCAAGAAGTGGGTGTATTGACCTGTTGACTTTGGTTTACGATACTCACTTCTTTTTATAGTTCCATCCACCTTCCTTGTCAAATAAAAGTGTCTTCCTTATACTCACGGGTTGGTCTTTGTCTCCTGATTTTCACGGCTCAGTGAAATATATGGTTTCAAGGGAGAACAATTGTTATTTTTATCCATTCCAAGTGTCTCATTGGGTTAATAGCATTCTCGTATTTCATGTTATTCTAGGAGTCACTTGAGACTGACTGACTGACCATGAGTCAAGGTAGCGAACCATTTATGATGACAGGAAGAAGAAATGAACTCATTGACCGTATTGACAATTGTGCATAAGGCAATAAACCACACCTATTGTGTAAGAACCAGTGATACTACCTGGTAGGTGGAGGGGTGTTCAAACTCACGACCCACGGCTTGACTACTATTCATGATGGTTCTCAAAATCCAGAAAGTTTTATTTTCTTACTTTTTCGTAGTCATAGC